ACCTCCACCTCCTGCAGTCAAACGGCTGCTGTTCACACTCACCTTGAAGGTGTTTACCCATGGGTTCCTGTAAATCTGCACTTTTATTTCCTGTAGTTGTTTGTCATACCTTGCACTGTCTACACCTCCGCCAACACCCACGTTCTCTTCTCTCTGGTACATTCCAAGACATTTCTATTTGTGCATTACAAACCTGAGGTATTGGCATCTTTTGTCTGAGGTATAAAAGTTGTGATACTGAAAAGGAGCATCTGTGATAAAGCTGAGAAAACAGATTTTACCTTGGCTCTGCGCTAAAAGCTTGAACAGAGATTAATGAAGCTGAAAGTCACCGTGTGTTTGTTGCGGTGTTTAGTTCTGGTTAAGTCTTCCTCCTCAGTCCACGTGAAGGTGTCTGTTACTGGTTCCTGAAGCAGATTCAGTTCTTTTCACAGCGATCACGGCATTCATGCAGCCACACAGTGTTGTTGTGAAGGTTGCTCGTCTACTCTCTCAGGTCTTTCTTTGTTTCTGTCTTGTGGCCTTGTAGCCAAATGTGACCTTTGGACGGCTTTCATATCTCAATTAGCAATCAGTAATCTATAAACCTGCTGGTGCTCTCTGTGCAGCCCCGCCCCTCACTGTGTTCAGTGTTTGTTAAAAAAAATACTTAAGATTCATCATTATTTTCATTGAGAGTTAACGGACAGAAGGAGGAACCTCTAACCTAAAAGAGAACATATAAAACTCTTTATTCACATGTGAAGTCCATCTTGAACATGGTAAAAGACAATTTATTCATGGAACTGTGTGTTTTAATGCAATTTTATGTTTATGCTTCTCTTTTGTTTGTTTTGTTTTTATGTAATTTTTGAGCCACTAACTAAGACAATTTTCTATCACTTAGTGATAGACAATAAAGTTTTTTTGAATCTTAATCTTGAATATAAGGTTGACACCTTTACACCTGAAGGACCTAACGTCTCTGCAGCAGAGCAGGTAAAACGGCTGGAACGGAGGCTCCCTGAACCAGGAGAACACCAGCACGGTGCATCTGTTTGCTCGTGTTTCTCCACCATGATGCGTGGCCAGGTTTTGGGGTGTGGACAGTATATCTCCACAGAAAGGATACAGATGGAAAAAGGGATGCACATGGGCTGTGTCTGAGCTTCAGCCGTTGAGCCCAGTTGTATTTGCTATGACGAGACTGTTAACTGAGAAATAAGCACACACAAGTGGGCACACAGAAACAGGGCTGGTACTAAGGCAGGCCTCACAGCTGCCATTTGTCATACTGAAAAATGTAAACATAAAAATTAGAAAAACACAAAAACAGTAACATTTCCAAAAGCAATATAGTGAGTGTAGTAGGGTGTGTATTCTCAGTATCCTTTGTTTTTTAGGGAAGAGCAGGGTTATACACACAGTACATGAGGTGTCCAATTGTTTTTAGTTGTTTTCCACCAATACAAACTGTCTCACATAGCTGACTCAGCTAGAGAGGAAGCTAGTTTGTTGTTTGTGTACAAGCTCTCACTGTCCCAGTTAAGTATTAACTCAATGTTAAAATAAAACACGGAATTGTGCAGTAACAGAGTAATTAATTTGCAGTCATCATTTAAATGCCACTACCCTTTGCTAAGCTGGAGTTTCTACTGTGGTTTGAAAACAGGATTGGAAAGTCCCAACACTTCCATGTATTTTACCAAGTTCATGTAAATTTTAAATAGGCTGCTTGAGGATTATCCAGGAAGAACCTGCACAGTTTTATATTACTGATTCATTGATTTCATTCCTGGAATCTGCTTACAGTGAAACCAAAAAACTCAGTGACACCAGGAGCCTTGCTCAATCACTACCATTAAAAAATCACAGCATATAAACAGCAGGAGATTTTGTGCGTTTAACAGCCGCCTGTGGAGATTATGCCTCACTAAGCCACGCAGAGTTAGTTAGTAGTTATGTGGTGTTCACTGGAACAGTGGAAATACAGAAAATGCATTAAGCAGCTTAAACCGTAGAAGGCCATGGTTAGTATGAAGAGCCTCTTTCTCTTTGCTGCTCTGTTAAAACCAACTCCAAGACCTGTTCTACAAAGATTTTAAAATATAATAAAGCAGGTAGTTCATAAAGAAACATAAATCCATTACAGTAAAAGACACTACAGAACAAATCTGTCAAAAATGTTTTTTAATGTTATTGTTCATATTAGTTGTTTTTGGTTTTAACAAAGGGAGCAATATGAAGCATCGGTTTATGAAACAGGGAGAGCTTCACTGGAATCTCGGAAATGTGGAAATTAAAGGGGTAAACCGGTGTGTTCCGCATTAAAGCGTTTCTCCACTGTCTGCTTTGTTTACTGACGTCACATTGACTTACAGCTAAATGCTAACAGCTGCAAAACAACAAAACAACTAGCCAGCCAAGCGAACAACAGCTAGGGAGCTGTCCCTCGAGCGGCCCCGCCCCTCTCCATGCGCGGTCACGCCCCCTCCCTCTCTGCTGGGGCCGTGTGCACATGATGCGTTCACGACCGTCTACCAAGCACGTAAATAGAAAAACTCACAAATTTTTTCACACACACACACACACACACACACACACACACACACACACACACACACACACACACACACACACACACACACACACACACACACACACACACACACACTGCTGCATTCAGGTGCACACATGATTAAAATATGGGACATTCATATGACGTTAGTTTGATGTTAGTATGAGGTCTTCACCTGCAAAATGTGTCTGTTGTGTTGTAACGATGTAAAATATGTTCTGTACCAGTTTGAACAACTAAAGCTTCTTTTGTTTTTAAACTAAACCACCACACACAGACTCAAAACCGCCTCTCTAGCAGTCATGTTTGTAGTAATGAAGTAATGTGGGTTCTGGTGAGTCGGTTTCACTTAATATTTTTTCTTTAAAAAAAAAAGAATTTGTGAGTTTTTCTATTTACGTGCTTGGTAGACGGTCGTGAACGCATCATGTGCACACGGCCCCAGCAGAGAGGGGAGGGGGGCGTGACCGCGCATGGAGAGGGGCGGGGCCGCTCGAGGACAGCTCCCTCAGCTGTTGTTCGCTTGGCTGGCTAGTTGTTGTTGTGTTAGCAGCTGTTAGCATTTAGCTGTAAGTCAATGTGACGTCAGTAAACAAAGCAGACAGTGGAGAAACGCTTTAATGCGGAGACACCACGGTTTACCCCTTTAATTTCCACATTTCCGAGATTCCAGTGAAGCTCTCCCTGTTTCATAAACCGATGCTTCATATTGCTCCCTTTGTTAAAACCACAAAAACACCTAATATGAACCAATAACATTAAAAAACATTTTTGACAGATTTGTTCTGTAGTGTCTTTTACTGTAATGGATTTATGTTTCTTTATGAACTACCTGCTCTTATTATATTTTAAAATCTTTGTGAGAAACAGGTCTTGGAGTTGGTTTTAACAGAGCAGCAAAGAGAAGAGGCTCTTCATACTAACCATGGCCTTCTACGGTTTAAGCTGCTTAATGCATTTTCCTGTATTTCCACTGTTCCAGTGAACAGCCACATAACTACTAACTAACTCTGGCGTGCTTAGTGAGGCATAATCTCCACAGGCGGCTGTTAAACCGCACAAATCTCCTGCTGTTTATATGCTGTGAATTTTTTAATGGTAGTGATTGAGCAAGGCTCCTGGTGTCACTGAGTTTTTTGGTTTCACTGTAGGCAGATTCCAGGAAATGAAATCAATGAATCAGTATATAAAAACTGTGCAGGTTTCTTCCTGGATAATCCTCAAGCAGCCTATTTAAAATTTACATGAACTTGGTAAAATACATGGAAGTGTGGGACTTTCCAATCCTGTTTCTAAAACCACAGTAGAAACTCCAGCTTAGCCAAGGGTAGGTGGCATTTAAATGATGACTGCAAATTAATTACCTGTTACTGCCAAATCCCGTGTTTTATTTTAACATTGAGTTAATACTTAACTGGGACAGTGAGAGCTTGTACACAAACAACAAACTAGCTTCCTCTCTAGCTGAGTCAGCTATGTGAGACAGTTTGTATTGGTGGAACAACTAAAAACAATTGGACACCTCATGTACTGTGTGTATAACCCTGCTCTTCCCTAAAAAACAAAGGATACTGAGAATACCACCCTACTACACTCACTATAATTGCTTTTGGAAATGTTACTGTTTTTGGTGTTTTTCTAATTTTTATGTTTACATTTTCAGTATGACAAATGGCAGCTGTGAGGCCTGCCTTAGTACCAGCCCTGTTTCTGTGTGCCCCACTTGTGTTGGTCTTATTTGTCAGTTAACAGTCTCGTCATAGCAAATACAACTGGGCTCAACCGCTGAAGCTCAGACACAGCCCATGTGCATCCCTTTTTCCATCTGTATCCATTCCTGTGGAGATATACTGTCCACACCCCAAAACCTGGCCACGCATCATGGTGGAGAACACCGAGCAAACAGATGCACCGTGCTGGTGGTTCTCCTGGTTCAGGGAGCCTCCGTTCCAGCTGCTTTTACCTGCTCTGCTGCAGTTAGACGTTAGGTCCTTCAGGTGTAAAGGTGTCAACCTTTAGTTCAAGATTTAAGATTCAAAAGAACTTTATTGTCTATCACATAGTGATAGAAAATTGTCTTAGGTTAGTGGCTCAAAAATTACATAAAAAACAAACAAACAAAACGAAAGAAGCATAAACATAAAATTGCATTAAAACACAACAGTTCCATGAATAAATGTCTGTTTGACCATGTTCAAGATGGACGTCACAGTGGGAATAAAGAGTTTTTATATGTTCTCTTTTAGGTTAGAGGTTCCTCCTTCTGTCCGTTAACTCTCAATGAAAATAATGATGAATCTTAAGTATTTTTTTTACAAACACTGAACACAGTGAGGGGGCGGGGCTGCACAGAGAGCACCAGCAGGTTTATAGATTACTGATTGCTGAATGAGATATGAAAGCCGTCAAAGGTCACATTTGGCTACAAGGCCACAGACAGAAACAAAGAAAGAGCCTGAGAGAGTAGACGAGCAACCTTCAACAACACACCTGTGTGGCTGCATGAATAGGCCGTGATCGCTGTGAAAAGAACTGATCTGCTTCAGGAAACAAGTAACAGACACCTTCACGTGGACTGAGGAGGAAGACTTAACCAGAACCTAAACACCGCAACAAACACACGGTGACTTTCAGCTTCATTAATCTTCTGTTCAGCTTTTAGCCAGAGCCACAGGATAAAATCTGTTTTCATCAGCTTTTATCACAGATGCTCCTTTTCAGTATCACAACTTTTATACCTCAGACAAAAGGATGCCAAGTACACTCAGGTTTGTAATGCACAAAATGACAATGTACCTGGAAGTGTACCAGAGAGAAGAGAACGTGGGTGGTTGGCGGGAGGTGTAGACAGTGCAGGTAGTGAACAAACAGACTACAGGAAATAAAATGCAGCATTTACAGGAAACCCATGGGTAAACACCCTTCAAGGTGAGTGTTGAACAGCAGCCGTTTGACTGCAGGAGGTGGAGGTGAAGAGAGTCCATTAGCTCGGAGACAAAACCTGGACGATGCTGGTTCTCCTGCTATAGGTCTCCTCCAGGTCCTGTTGCGTTTGTTCTTCTTCTCAGTCCATTCAACTAATCAATCTTCATTCCACCAAGCTAATCTAAGCAACATCACCACTGCTTCCTGGAGTCCTGAGTACATTCTGTATATTAAGAATGTCAAACAGCTACTGATCAGGTGAACTGGTGTCCAGGCTTCAGTTTCCATTTGGAAAACTGTTGATCTGTATGTTCCAGTGTGGACCTGATAACTGACTCCAGATAGATATTACTAAATGCATCATTTTTAAAGATATGGACCAAACAGATCTGCAGAGAATTAGCCGCTGATCTTCTGTAACTATTAGAGGCTGGTGGTGAAGAACACCTGAACAGTTCTGTCAGGAGTGAGGGGGAAAGTGAGATAGATTTGAAGACCACCATCAGTAGGCTACAGTTAACACTGAACACTGCGCTGATGCTTCTTTTGATTCTCATGCAGGTTTTGTTCTATTGGTTCTTTGGCTGGTTCTCTGACTGGTTCTCTGACTGGTACTCCCACTGGTTCTTCCATTGGCTCTCCCAGTGAACAGCCATGCTTGGAAGAACAGGAACCTTCAGTGGACGTTGCAGGTTTGACCTCCAACAGTGCTGCTCTTTCTCCTCTCTTCAACCTCCCCCTGACCTCCCCAAACATTATTACCCAGCAGGCAGTGGGGACAGGAATTACAGGAGGGGGCAGGAGGCGGGACAGATGAACTCTGCTCAGATCAACCGCATCCTAAAGGTGAGACAGATCCATCAATCAAGCTGTCAATCAATTAACTAGTCAAACTACTGAACTGTCTGTCTGTCGTCTATTGCCAGGCCAACGAACACAGCCACAAACTCCCAAGAGGCCCCGCCTCCCATGGTGTCCTGGGTTTCCACAGCAACATGTTGCCATCCAACCACCCTGGCGAGGATCGTCGCAGCAGCGCCACCTGCCTGCCGGGCCGTGGCGGCGTGCTGCTCGGTGTGTTTGATGGCCACGCAGGGCCGGCATGCGCCCACACCATCAGCCAGAGGCTCTTCTATTACATCGCTGTGGCAACACTGCCACTGAGGATACTGGCGGAGATCGAACGGGCGGTGGAGGAGGAACGGGCCGTACCGCCATTGTTGGAGTGGCACAAACACCCCCAAGACCACAGCTGCCCTGACGGAGGAGCGATCTCCTTCCACAGCCTCCGAAACTACTGGCAGGAGAGGCTGGAGGACGAAGGCCAGGAGGAGGAGGAGGAGGAGGAGGAAGAGGTAACCAGGGGTCCAGACATGTCAAATCAATAAACCAGACTAGAGGTCTTCACAGGTTCCATCTTGGACCCAAAAAATGGAAAACCTGAACCTGATATGCATGAATTAATTTTTTTTTTTTAAAAGAGACCTTATTTAAAAGTGAGCAACCAGACCTGGACAGAGTGAAATAATTTGGACCCAGCCTGACTCAGGTCCTGGGTTGGGTCTCAGTTACTAGGAACCAAGTGGACCTGTGAAGACTTCTAAACTAGACAACAGTGTTCAGACAATCTGACCGTCAAATATGTGTGAAGCCTGACATCTGGAGGTGAAAGCAGGTACTGACCGGTCCGGCTGCTATTGGCTGATCTCTAGTACCAGGTGAGAGCAGATCAACATACTCACCGCAACACGATGGTTTCCGTGTCTGCAGTTTGTTGGATTCATGATTAAAAAATATTCTGTATTGTTATGTAATATTAAGTTTGTCCTCATCAGCTCTAAAGCTTTCATGTCCTGTGATGTCATTATCTGTCTCCTCTCTGATTGGTTACAGGATGGCGGCAGGGTAACATCAGCGCTGGTGAATGCTTTCTGTCGCCTCGACTATGATCTGTCTGTGGAGGCCCAGGTCCACCTGTCCATGTCCTCACCCAGGTCCTGATTTTTACACTCCATCTTTTTGACTCCTTTAAACTTCAGTTTAAACTCTACTGTGACAGGTTTGGATTTTTAAAGTCTATCTGAATGAAACAGTCTCATGTCCATCTCTCCATGTAGTGGTCTCTTCCTAATATGAATGCATTCTAAGAGATGGAGGACGAAGTCCAACATTTGTCAACACCACAACAAACTTGTTTTTTATGTTGTGTTTGAGAGAGTGCCGTTCAGCTGTGGGACAGACATTAATAGAAAATTTAGATTTTCTTTGACATTTACATATCAGTTCCTTACTTATCACCAGCTGAATTCTCCCTTTCTGTCCACAGACGGGTGTCTCTCCCTGGGGAAGGGTTGTCTCTCTCCAACCCCCTCCGGGTGGCGCTGTCCGGCTGCACTGCCTGTGTCGCCCATATCTCCAACGGCATCCTACATGTGGCCAACCTTGGTGACAGTCGGGCTGTTCTGGGTGTCCAGGAGCCGAACGGGGGCTGGTCAGCGGTCAGCCTCACCAATGACCACAACGCACAGAACCCCGATGAGCTGCAAAGGATCCTGGGAGAACACCCGCAGTCTGAGAGCAGGACGGTGGTCCGCCATGATCGCATGCTGGGTCTGCTGCTGCCGTTCAGGGCGTTTGGAGATGTCCGCTTCAAATGGAGCGCAGAGATGCTGAGTCGAGTCTACGAAACTCGACCGGACGTCATGTCTGCGGTCAGCGAGGCTGTCCGGATGCTGCCGCCACACTACCTGACACCACCCTACCTGAGCGCCCAGCCAGAGGTCACCCGACACTGCATCAGACCTTCTGACAAGTTCCTGGTCCTGGCAACTGATGGACTATGGGAGCTGATGCACCGACAGACTGTGGTCCAGCTGGTGGGGGAACAACTGACAGGTCAGAGAACTAAGATCCTCACTAAATCTATAGTAAACTGAATATCTGAGTCTAAACTGGACTGACTATAAATATATATATAATCACACTGAAATTATAACATCTCAATTACTGCAAGACAAATAGATCTTAAATGTGGATTTGAAAGTGTTTAAAATTCATGACCAAAATCATCATACATTCTGTCAATGTGTTACTTATGGATGGAAATATAGTTTGCTCGGGACCCCCCAGAAACCCCCTCAAGGCCTCCTGGGGGTCCATGGACCCCACTTTGAGAACCATTGCTTTAAAAAAGTTTATGGAATAATAAGGAGGTGTGACTGTTTAGACCACCCAAAGGAGTATAGTGTTGCATTTGTTAGGAGGATAGTAGCATCCCCGGTTTATTTATGTACTTGTACTGTAGTTCACTTAATGCACCTTGAACACACCATAGGAGCTAACAGAAAGAGAAAACAAAAATAAAAAAATGAACATCTTCTCATATAATAGGCTTGTGATAACATACAATTTTACATTTGCTCCAGAGAATAAATTTATCTTTATCATAAGTTATTTCCATTTATACAAGTTAGTTCCGACCATGCAATTTGATTGGACGAGAGGCATTCCATGAGTGCTGATACGTACAGATTACAACAGCACTGGGACTTTTAACGACATGTATCACTCCGCTATTAACCGTTAGTTAGCGTTACAGTAACGGTCGTTATCTATCTCAGATTGTAACAACAAACTGTTTAAAATAGGTGTTTCGTGAAAGGAATACCCACTTTAAACCGTTCTAGCTCAATGACGATATCTGATAGTGCTCAAAATAATCATATTAAATTCAATATTCAAATGTTCACGTTTTCTGTTCCCTGTCGTTAAAGTAAACAAAAACATGCACGTCTCTGGATAAACGATAGCCCAATTTATAACTACTGCAAAATTATAAAAAAAAAAAATGCACTGCATGAAAAATAAAATGAAACACATACCAACCTTGTGCCTCTATCAACCATTTGCTGAACGAACAAATGATATCAAAATGTCCTTTTAGAAAGCACTATGTTATCTCGCTCTACTTTTTTTTCCCTTGCTGCTGTTATCTTACTTCAAAATATTAGCATGCCCTTTGCAATAAAACCAGCGGAAAAAAACAAAAACCATTTGGCTTCAGTAAATGTATGTATGTATAAAATGATTAAACATAAGGCTATCACATTATGAAATTATGCTTAACCCCACTAGAGGTCATTTAAAATCAGCCAAAACATGGATATGAAGCTGGTGCATCGAGCTATAGACTAATAGATGGAGAAAAGTAGAGGACTGAGGATGGAGCCCTGAGGAACGCCTAAGTATGGAGGTGAACCGTTATAAGAGACAGTGGTAAGTTGTATTTAACAGTCTATTACATATTGTAGGGGAGTCGCAGTGAAGTTTATATTATTCCCCTGTTGTTTACATTAAAGTGAGACACCTCACACCCGAGCCATCACTTGGAGGGTACAGGTCAGTTTAAGTTTAAATGATGAGAAGAGTTGGAGTGTAAGTGTAAACAGCAGAAGTTGTTTGTCTTTGTACAGGCATTCAGCAGCAGAGACCCATAGTTCCCAGCATGGGCATGACACTTGGCGGCTTGCAGCACCTCCTGCTGGAGAGGAGGGGACGAGTTATGTCTGTGCTGGAGGACCAAAATACTGCCACGCATCTGCTTCGCCATGCCTTGGGAGATGATGGGTATGGGGCAGTGGCACCAAACCGTCTCGCCAAGATGCTGAGTCTGCCGGCAGATCTGGCCAGGAGGTACCGCGATGACATCACCATCACTGTCATACACCTAAATGAGCCCGATGTTTAATCAGAGCAACTGTGGGAGTTAACCTGCTCAATAACCAGGTAACAAATTATGATAATAATAAACTTTTTTACTCTAAACTAAAAACTACTTTTACTCTAAAATCCTAAATAAAATAAACTCCTGGTTCAGACATTATGGGTTTTCCTCCAAAATTAGGTCCTGTTTGTTTTTTTTGTTTACCCCATTTATATCAGCAAGGCTAGGCTAAATAACAGAAACACCTCTTTGTATAATGCAACACAGTTCAGCAGAAACACAGACTACAGCCTCTGAAATGATAAGTTGAATCAACACGTCTACAAAACATTTTTTACATTAGAACATTCATGAAGGAGGATTTATTACAGGACAGTCGGAACAGACTTAGTCTGAGCTGGGTGGACCTAATAAACTGGACCCTGGGTGTGTATATACAAAACTGTATACAAGGTATGTTCAGATTCTTCTCCATCATTCCCACCAGGAGGTGTCTGATCATTCTGCAGCAGGACAGTGACTCCAAACATACAGCTGGAGTCATAAAGAACTATCCTCAGAGACAAGAACAAGGAGTCCTGCAACAGATGGTCTAGTCCCCACATAGTCCTGATCTCAACATCGTGGAGTCAGTCTGGGATTACATGAAGACACAGAGAAAGACTTGATCCACAGAATAACTGTGGCAGGTTCTGGAAGATGCTGAAACAACCTACCTGCCAAGTACGTGAAGAACTATGTCCAGGTGTACCAAGGAGAATATTTCACTGTTTGCAGAATGAATGTTTGGAAATCAAAAATGTGATATTTCCTGTTGATATACTTATGCAGGAGACATAAAGTAAGTCTATGACAAATGTTTTTGTGAAACATTTGAAGAACAGACTGCAACAAACAGCTACTGCATCTTTTCCTTCAATTAACAGTTTAACGAACATTCGTTTTTCTGTTTTTATGCTTTTCACAGAACAGTTGACTGTGTGTAAACAGACTAAACTGCTCAGACACTGAATGAACCATTTCCACTGGTCCAGGTTTTTTAAATAATTATTTGTATATGCAGCTTTGACCTTTTGTTTGTAAATTATTTAATGATCCAGGTATTTTTTGCAATATGTGCAATATTTAGAAATTAATTATTTACCAAAATGTAGGAAGAATGAAAATGACATACTGACCTACGCATCATTTTCACCCTCACATATGGTTGAATGTGATAAAAAGTTAAAAAAGGAAATTAATAGTATGTTTCATTTGTAAATCAGACCATAGTAAAGATAGACCCACTTCTTTTTAACTAGATGGTGAATTTGAAAATAAATAGAATGATATTTTCATGTGGTGTCCGATCAGCTGCAGCGTCCGATCACGAGCAGGTTTCTATAAAGGGCTCTACATCACAGGTGTCTGGGTCCTCGTTAATCCTCCCAGCCAATCAGAATCCAGTACTCTCAGTGATCATGGTCTACATACAGCAGGATCCAAAAGGCTGGTGTGAAAGTGACTTCACTGGTTGTACATTATGTAAAAAAAACCATAATGTCCTGTCAGTAGAAGACAAGGCAGCAGCTCTGAGTGACTTGAAAATAAAATTTAATCAACATTTTTACAAAATCAAATCTCAATTAGAAAAACAGTTAAATACCAAACAGCTTCAAACCAACCAATCAGCTGATACCATCTTCATCATCACCAGCCAGCCTCCTCACAGCTCACAGAGCTCAATCATTGGATGATACTCAGGGAGGGGCAGGGCAGAAAAACAAAAACAAAAAACAGCATCCTCAGACTCATCTGTGTCAACCAATAGGAGAGGATGATATAAAAGAGGGGCAGGCTCTAATGTCCAGTGTCCGATCAAAGGGCAGTGTTGTTGGTGAGTCACCGTCGTGGGGGCGCGGCCATTAGCTGTGTGGCGGTGACTGACTCTGGGAACAGGTTGTGGTAAGTGGGCAGGGGGACGTACGCCGCCGTGATCATCTTACCTAGAACGATAGGTGAGACATCAGAGCGGTACTCTGATTGGTCCACAGCATAGAACACAGGTGTGATGTGATAGGAAGTATTACCTGCAAAGTATCTTCCGTGTAGGGCGTTGACGGCAGCCATGGCAGCTGGGATCGACGGACACTTAACATAGACGTTTCCCTGAACACAAGCAGAGGTCAGAGGTCAGAGGTCAAACTGACAGGTCACAGGTGAGAAACGTAAAAAGGTACAGAATAAATCAAATTAAACTGTCTAAAAAATGTCCATTACAATATCCAGAGCTCGAAGTGATGTCCTGAAAAGTTTTAAAACGAACTAAAATGATTGATTATCAAAAGAGTTGAATTTTCTTTCAATTGAATAACCAATTAATTGACTAAAGCTCTAATGAATTCTACAGAAGTCAAGGGGCTGTTAGTCATGAATCGCCCTGTAGGTCAGAGGTCACATTAACTGCATTCATGTTCAGGTCAGAGGTCATGTGTACCTCAGTGGAGTTCTTGTCGACGTATATGTGAACGACTCCACCATGTTTGTTACACTCCTCTATGACATCATGCTGGATATCCATCTCCCAACCAGGAGCCTCCTCACTGAAACACACACAGAGCACAGTGTTCAAGTACATGACACCACACACATACACACAGATGCAGAGGAAGGTGTGTTTAAATTTATCAATTAGAGGCTAATTTACAGTCTGTATGTTCTCAATGCTGCTCAACACATACACATGAAAATAAACCTTACAGCACAGATCAATAAAAAAATACAGTCAGACACACAGGTGCAGAGACAGACAGGTGTGTGTACCTGTTGGGGTTGAACATGTTAGACAGCTGGAAGCAGTGTGTGGCGAGTGGCTGAGAGGGAAGATTCAGAGCAGCCGAGTTCATGTTCATGTTGAGAGCTGGATTCATTGCCGGGTTCATTGCCGGGTTCATTGCCGGATTCATGGCCGGGTTCATTGCCGGATTCATGGCCGGATTCATGGCCGGATTCATTGCCGGGTTCATGGCCGGGTTCATGGCCGGGTTCATGGCCGGGTTCATGGCAGCTGAAACACACAAGTACACAGAGAATAAACACACACACATACATTTGAAAAGTACAATCAGAAGGAATTCAAGTGACTATCACCCAAAGTTAGTCTTTGTGTGTGTGTGTGTGTGTGTGTACCTGACACAGCAGCCATGGCTCCTATAGCGATAGCTCCACTCATCTGTAGAGCCTGCTGAGCAGCAGGAGGGATCTGTAGACCTGTACCTGCATGAACACATGAACACAACCTGATACTCAGTCAGTCAGTCTCTGGGCTCAGCTGGAGGTTAAACGCGGAGGTTTATGTCAGCACGTGGATGCTAAAGCATTCTCACCCTCAGCAAGTCGGGCCATGAGCTGCAGTCGCCCTGTGGTTCCCAAGTCGATGCCGGTGCGCTCGAGCTCGTCGCTGTCGAGGAAAGACGACGCTGTGGAGGCGTCGGTCCGCTCCGTCACGTGACCAACCTTCATGGGGCGACCAGCCAGCTCGAAGCCGTTCAGCTGCTCCAGAGCTTTCTTGGCACACTCTGCGTCTGCAAACTGACACACAGGAAATGAAACTAGAGTTCTGCTTCTCTGAACTGAATGTGAGTGGACATGTGGGTCACACATGTTGATGGGTGTTTCTTTTTGTACAGACTGTGAGTGTAATGTTATTTAACAAACCACAATGTAAAGAAATCAGGAGTACACAAACCACGACATCTGTGAAACAAACATGAGAAAACTTGGTTTTATCGATGTAAATGGATGGACATGAAATAATGTTTTGTGATATTATTAGAAAAGTTCTTGTAAAAACAGAATAATTTGGTATCTAAGAATAAAGAACAAATATTTCAGATCAAGAGAAAAATGAAAAAAGAATCTGATAAAAATGAGCTTCTGGTTTCTACAAGAAACTGAGCAAATATTTTTGTCATGGAAGCCACAACACAGTGGTGTACAGGCTGACCAGGATGATTAGAATGAGAAGATAATCATTAGATTAATCAATCATATCAATAATCAATCATAACGCTGATGATGAAGAACTTACAGTGATGAAGCCATAGCCTTTAGATCGTCCAGTCTCACTGTCCATCATCAGCTGGATGCTCTCAATCTGAGAAACAACAAACAGAACCCAGCTGTCAGAGGTCTGTCTGTGTGTGTGTGTTTTTCCATACACATAAACATATATAGTTATACATGTAGTTAAATATGTTGTTGATGCTGACCCGTCCAAATGGCTCAAAGATTCCTCTCAGCATCTCCTCAGTGATGTTGAAGTGCAGAGAGCCGACGTACAGTCTCATCGGTCCTGATGTTCCCTTCTGCAGGTTGTTGGCTGCTGCTGCTGCTCGGTTCTTCTCAGCCTGAAAACGTTTAAATGTTTTAAATGAATCCACTGGTCACATCACTGTAGAAGTACGATTACATGACAATTACAGTTCTCTGTGAAGACAGTGTGGAGTGATGCAGACTGACAACTCTGGACAGAAGGAGGAGATCTGCTGCATTTAAACAGTACTAAAGAGTGTGTGTGTGTGTGTGTTTATGTGTGTGAGAGAGTGTGTGAGTGTGCGTACCTGTGAGGCCTGTACAATGATGGGAACTCCCAGCAGCCTTTGCCCCGTCAGTCCAATGGCCAGAGGAACCGAGTTTGCCTCCACAAACTCGATGTAGGCAATGCCCTTCGACCTGCGGGAGTTCCTGTCAGAGATCATCCTCACGTCCCGGACCTGCAGAGGGACCACAGCAACCATTACCATGGTAACAATCCACTGGCAACACTATTACCAACACCAACATGGTGGTGACAGAGTGTAAACAACTACGGCTGCAACAATTAGTCAATTAATGGATCAAGAGAAAATAATCAAAATAATTTTGATTAACAATTAATTGCTTAAATCAGGGGTCCCCAAACTACGGCCCGCGGGCCACATCCGGCCCGCCAAAGCAATTGGAGTGGCCCACTTAACGATCCCAGACAATCCCTCTAAACATCAACCAATTTTTATTAAATTGCATTTTCCTATCATAACATCATAACATATCCGTACTTAAAGGTTGGCATTCTAATTAAAATTGACCATAGTTATGAGCTATTTATAGTTAATAGTGGCTCATCTTCACCTCCTCACACAATGGTATATTCTGACGTGACTTTGATCGTGGCCGAGCCAGCGTCAAGCTGCAAAGTTCTGAGGTGGGAATCTGTCATGAAGGTGGTTGTGTCCTGCAAACTTCATCAGAGCAAACGGACTTAAACACAGGCAGTTCCAAGCCTTTCTCTCCGAGCTAGAATCAGCCCACGGAGACGTGCTTTACCACACTGAAGTCCGCTGGTTAAGCCGGGGCAGAGTTTTGAAGCGTTTTTACGACCTGCTACCCAAAATCAATGCCTTTCTCCTGACAAAGGGAAAAACTGTCCCAGAGCTGATCGACACAGAATGGAAATGGGACCTCGCCTTTATTAACAGATGTGTCAGAAATTTTAAACGGCCTCAACTTGCAGCTCCAAGGCAAGGGAAAACTAATCTGACATGTATTCCCACATCAAAGTATTTGAGCTTAAACTAGCGCTGCTTATTGGACAGGTGCAAAAACAAGACTTCACCCATCTCCCTGCTACTCGAAGCCTCTCAGCTGAGAAACC